AGAAACTTTCTTCTTTGTGAAGATGGTTGAGCTGATTATACTCTTGCTGCCTCCTGCTCTGTAAATCTGGTATTAGCAGGATTTAGTTTATATACATATATCTATGCTACCATCTGCTAGGTTGGAATGGAAAATCAACCGAGTGTTTTGACACAAAGATATGAAATCGGGCAATTGCTGGGCCAAGGTACATTTGCTAAGGTCTACTTTGCTAGGAGTATCACAACTAACCAGAGCGTGGCAATTAAAGTAATTGACAAGGAAAAGGTATTGAGGGTTGGGATGATGAATCAGATCAAGCGAGAGATTTCTGTGATGAGAATTGCTGGACACCCTCATATTGTGCAACTTTATGAGGTCATGGCCACCAAAACTAAGATTTACTTTATAATGGAATATTGCAAAGGTGGAGAGCTCTTTAACAAGGTGGCCAAGGGAAGGCTAAAGGAGGATGTTGCCAGGAAATACTTTATACAGCTCATCAATGCAGTTGATTTTTGCCATAGTAGGGGTGTTTATCACCGGGATATAAAGCCAGAGAACCTGTTGTTGGATGAGATTGAGAATCTCAAGGTCTCTGACTTTGGGTTAAGTGCCCTTGCAGAATCTAAGCGCCAAGATGGCCTACTCCACACTACTTGTGGTACTCCTGTCTATGTTGCCCCCGAAGTGATCAACAGGAAAGGCTATGATGGAGCAGCTGCTGATATTTGGTCTTGTGGAGTGGTTTTATTTGTTTTATTGGCAGGCTATCTTCCATTTCATGATTCAAATCTCATGGAGATGTACAGGAAAATTGGCAAAGCTGAATTCAAATGCCCTAGCTGGTTCCCACTAGAGATACGTAAGCTCTTGTCGAAGATGTTAGAACCAAACCCCATTGCTAGGATTTCAATGTCTAAAATTAAGGAAAGCTCTTGGTTCAGAAAAGGACTCATCTCTAAACAGAAATCCCCTGAAACAGAGATCAAGGATCCAGCTTCCTCTACTTCTTGTCAGGATAGTAGTATGATGACTGAAGAGAAGCAAGAGCTGATACAACCTTCAAACTTAAATGCTTTTGATATCATCTCCTTTTCTGCTGGGTTTGATCTGTCTGGATTGTTTGATGACTACTCTCAAAAGAGAGAAGCAAGATTTACTTCCAGACAACCTGCCTCTGTCATCATCTCCACGCTGGAAGAAACTGCTAGACAGCTGAGACTGAAAGTGAAGAAGAAGGATGAAGGCGTGTTGAAAATGGAAGGATTGAAGGAAGGTAGAAAGGGGATATTGTCCATTGATGCAGAGATCTTTCAGGTGACTCCAACTTTTCATTTGGTGGAGTTGAAGAAATCAAATGGAGATACTATGGAATATCAACAAATAATGAAACAAGATATGAGGCCTGCTCTCCAAGACATTGTTTGGGTTTGGCAGGGTGAGCAACAACAGCCTGCATCACAATTGCAGCAAGAGTCTGAACAGGAGCAGCAGCAGCAGCCACAACAACAACCATGACAGGATTATGCTTTGATAAAATCTATTCTTTGTACATTCACAATATACGCTGACATCTTGAATTTTTGTTTTGTTTTTCGTTGTGAGAGTAACACCCCCATTTAATAAAACTGCAGTTGTTTGAGAAGTAAGATTGATGACTGATGTTCGACTATATGCTTTCATTCTGTTATGACGCCCAAGTCAAAGCTTTTCCGCCCACCACCTTTTTAACTGAACTATCTGCCTTGATATTTTAAATTCCATGATTAAAAATGAAACCTGCCTGCTCAAATTCTTGTATGAAGATTGAGGGAAGATATTGGATTTTTTAAATGACAAGTCAAAGCGGTTGCTTGTACTCTTTTTCCAATCTAACCATTAGTTTAGTTGAGTGGCAGAAGGGGGAAAGATCATAGGTAAGGGGATGGCAGTGCGAATCCCTTTTTCCTTTATGATTGGGTTACACATGAGGGAGTAAACTTTCCCATGAACAGAATCCAGTTAATCTGTTCTGTATGGTGGACCTTAATCAGAATAGACAACATGCCTACCATCAGAGGTAAGAATTTGTTCAACTCTTTCAGTTGAAATAAATACAACCATGTACTACATCTATCCCGAGGAAACGATAGTTCTTATACTCAAAATTTGTCTTTAATTTAATTATTGTTTCTTGATTTTTTTTAAGGAAAATAAATATTTTTTCTTACCTTAACCTTATTGTTATTATTTATTAATTTTAATTATTTATCCTATCATCAAAATTCTCTTTATTTTTATCTTTTTCTTAAAGGGTAATATAAATAAATGCATAAATTTACCTTGAATTCTTAATTGGTAAAAAATAAAAAAATAAACTCACAATTATTTTGGGATTAAGGGTGTAGCAAATAGTTACAGTGTGAAAATTTTTGTCTACTTGTCAGATAACAATTGATACAGTGATTTATCCTAAGCAATTGATAAACACTCTCCTCAACCTGAAGGCCTACTTATTTGCTCTTGAACAAGGCTATTTTACATTCAACATCTAGATAAGTTGGGGACTCAAGTCAGATCAATGAAGTCACGAGCAAATGAAGAAACTCTTCTTTTCTTACTGTGTGTCCTACTTCTACCGTAAGGAGATGGAGTCAACAAATCTATTACCTCAATTTCATGAGCAAGACCAGAACTATGGAGTTGATCTTTATCACCAGCTAATACTGTCAAATACTGACAACTTCAATGGGTCACGCCCACCATTATCACCCTTGAAAGCGGAGCTTTGCACGATTCCTATAGACTATTTGTTGATAAAAAAAATTAAAAATAAAAATAAATTCCATTTTTTAGTTTTTGCTTTTGATTAATGCTCTGTTTTTGTTCACTCTAAAATGTCTCTTTAGATTAACGAATGTTGTCCGTCACTCAGACAAAATTTGGGCGTGGAAGTGACGCGCATAAAAGATCGTGTTCTGCTTGGAATATTATCGTTGAGATTAATAGCTGTCATTGAAATTCCATTGACCAGCTCAACTCCGACTCTGCTCTTACTTACATTCAAGTTTTACCGTTGATACGAGGTTCCATTCCCATTCCCTATAAATTAAGCCTCAGACCTCTAAAACCCACTTCAGTTTACTTAATACTGTCTTCTCAGTCCTCCCTCTTCCTCTTTAGCTTTCTGGCGTTTTCTCTCAGAACCCTAGACTGCTGCACCCACCGTTTACTGGTATACGTTCTTTCCTTCTCTTCTTAATGTTAATCTTCTCTTCCTCTGTCATACATTGTTGTTTCTTTCATGATTATTTGACCTGATTTCAACATACCTCTCCAGAGATTGAGGCTTGAAATAGGCCTGAGAATCATGATGACCAAACGGATATCTTGCTTAGGGTTCAAGAATGCTGTTGAACCCACGACGAGCCCACTTGATTTTTCCGGTATAGATGAAGCAGTGCAAATACGGCAACAATCTCTCGTTGGCCATATTTCTACATTCACAGGGGGTAAGAAATCGATCTTGTTCAAGTTTCTGGGTGTGAGGGGTGAAGACATTGAGAATTTAGTTTATTTCGCTGAGAAATCCCAGGAAGAAACCATTAGAACAACACAACAATTGCAGAATGGAGATGGCCCTTTTGCGAAACTACCGTGGGTCAAGAAATCCGTTGACTTGATGGATCTTAAAACGATGGATGTTAATGGCAGCCTCACCCAGTTTGATTACTCCAAGAAGGCCAATGAGGAAGCCATTAGTTCTACCCATTCCCAGTGCCAGCACCCTGTTCTACCATCCCGATTGGATTTTTTTGTGCCCAAGAAACAGAGGTCTAACAGAGGGAAAGCCACCAACACTACTAGTTTTTCCAATATCGAGAAATTTGGAAACTCCGTACTGGAAGATCTCAAACCAAGGTTTTTTGATCATGAGAAAGTCGGACGTAAGAAATCGATCGTATTCAAGTTTCTGGGTGTGAGGGATGAAGACAATGAGAATTT